GTACCGGCGTCTATCCTTCAAGCTTCAAGATATCTACGTACCGCTTGGTGCTCCTTCTCTTTTGGGTCATTTGGTCGGTCAATTGAAAACAAGGTTCTTGAGTATGTTAGGTCTGACATTTTGTCTTGCATTATCCACCCCTCTCCTTGCGGAGAATTTAGGATAGTGCCTGACCAGATTCCCACCGCCCAATGGGAACCGGTATTGTTTTACGGTTATCTCACCACGAGTCCCCAACCTTCATGTGCATCGCACATTTGACCAAAAGGATTGCTGTGTCTATATTTATGCTTCGTTTCCGTTTTCGTGTTGGTATGTATGTAAGGTGGCCAATAACCTTCTACTCTTGCTTACTTTTGCGTTTTCAACTGTGGAAGAAAAAAAAAAAATAATAATAATAATAAAAACAAAAATGGTCAAGCGTCTGGAAATGTATTTCGTTGGATTCAATTATTTCATATCTGGCTTGTCATGTTTGTGTTACGTTATGAGAAATAAAAAGTCGGTTAGGTCAATTATTTCATATCTGGCTTGTCAGGTTTGTGTTACAGAATGGAAAATAAAAAGTCGGTTAGTTCAGTTTTTCCATGTCTGGCTTGCCAGGTTTGTGTTACAGTATGGGAAATAAAAAGTCTGTTAGTTCAGTTTTTCCATGTCTGGCTTGCCAGGTTTGTGTTACAGTATGGGAAATAAAAAGTCGGTTAGTTCAGTTTTTCCATGTCTGGCTTGTCAGGTTTGTGTTACAGTATGGGAAAATAAAAGATCGGTTAGTTCAGCTCTTTCATGTCTGGCTTGGCGGGTTTGTGTTACGGTATGGGAAAATAAAAATTTGGTTAGTGCAATTATTTCATGTCTAGGGGCTGGTGGCTTGTTTTACAGCGTCGGTGCCACTCGACGCCAACCTATTCAAATTTTGCGAACAGGCGCGTGGGAAGGGGGGTGGAAATACTATCCTGACCTGTCGCCGAAGCCGCCGCCGCCATGGCCGCCTCCGCCGCCGCGCGGGAGACCTTGGGCGCCTTCCGCTTCACGAACGACTTGGGGTAGGCCACCGTGTTGATCCCCTCCAGCAGGCTCTGCACGATCTCCTCCTCCCCCGAGAGAGCCTTGCCCTGCGGCTGCCCCGGACCTGCCACTCGAACAATCCTGTCAACAAGAAGGAACAAGACACCGCCGATGACAAAAAAAAATAAAAAAACTTTCACCACTGCTGTGGTGTTATCTAGACCGGGTATGTTCTTTCTGTGATCGTGAGTAGTTGTTAAAAAATAATGAAAGCGAGCGAGCGAGATATCAACGGGAGATCAACGGCAAACGCCCGCTACAGTACAGCAAATGGTTCACAGAGAAAACCAAGGCGAGCTAAAAAAAAAAAAATCCGTCAAGGCTACTGAAACGTGGTACCCACCTTATCCCCGCGGGTTCCTCGGTGACGACGAGCGACAGCTTCCCGGCCTGCACGGCCTTCAGGTCGTCCGTCAGCGTTTCCCACACCAGCTCAAGGCCCGACTCGGTCGGCGCCACCGCCACCGGCCGCGCCCCGCTGCGGAGCATTCCCGCGGTGGACTTCCGCAGAGCCTAATGTGACCCACCGCACGCATACGCGGGAACACAGGGAGGGGGAAGGGGGGGGGGGGACTTCCACGCTCAAAGAGTCGTTGCGCCCCCGAAACCAGCGTCAGAAACGAACGGCGCCAAACGTACACTATTTTGCTGAAAAAAAAGGGTGCTGGCTCAGGCAGGGAATACACGCATGCATACCGCGCGCATCACCCGTACACCGGTCTTAGGGTGAGGGCAAGGATAGGGTACATACAATCTCCCCTCGGTTCTGGGACGGCGATCGAGGAGCCACCAGCGGGTCCATCTCAAGGTTTCGACTATACTTTGATGGGGGGGGGGGGCGGTTCCGTGTATCAAAGTTTGGAATAAGTTGTTCGATCGGTGTGTGTGTATGTGCAGGGGCCGGGGCGGCGTGTGCCGCTTCTACAGTCCGCGGAGCCCCTACCTGCTGCAACTCTGGTGCTACGGGTGCTGCTACAGGCACCGCTACAGGCACCGCGGTATGCGCGTCTTCGATGTGGCGGACAGAGAGTATCAGCAGCGGTGTGAGCAAAACCCTCCCCTGAAAATACTACGATACCCGGTGCACAAAACCGCGAGCGATAAGGTGGAGGGCCTCGCTCCAAGGCAAGCTGGGTTCGGTAGGTTGTTCACTGTCTACCGGTCGCGTGTTTCTCGATCCGCATAAAATTTCTAGATGAACGGCATTTGACGGCCATGGTCACTTGGAGGTGTGCGAAAACGCGAGAAGTGGCGGGGAAAAATCTCGTGAAAACACTTGCTACAAGCAGTGGGCTTCGAAACAGCAGCTCTGAACTTGTGGATGTGGCGTGCGGAACGTGATACGACACGCACCAAAAGCACCGAACAAGACAACAGGCCACCGAGAGAGAGAGAGAGACAGAGAGAGACAGAGAGAGAGAGAGACAGAGAGGCAGACAGAGGACAGAGAAGAAAAAAGCCAACAGGGACAGAAAATGCAGCAGCAAGCAAACAGCACGAGCAAGCAAAAACGCAAGACCAACCACCCAACACCAACACCTATTATAGCAGAAAACGCATAAACTACAGCAGTGGCGCTACAAGAAAGCTAGCTTACCGCAGGCCCCCAAGAGTCGGCGAGCCACCTCATGAGCTGGTCCTTCCTGCTGATGGCGTCGAACTCTATCGAGAACACCGCCACTCCGTCGCTGTCGTCCAGACGCTTCAGCTCCTGTCACCCAGACAGAAGCAATTTCACCGAAAAAAGTCGATCGGACGGCATTTGACAACGTCAGTCCGTTGTTGTTGTGGCTGTTGGTGCTGGTGATGGATATGATGGCGGTGTTCTTTTTTCGTCGGAAAGGCTTGGGGGTAAGTGCCAACCGCTTGTTATCGTTGTGGCCGTTGGTGGCAGTGGTGTTCTTGCTGTGGGAAAGGTTGACGCAGGCTACCCTGTGTTCAAAAAGACGGGCAGGCACAGAAAAACGGGCCGGCAGCCACGAACAGCTGGGACGGGCCTGCGCGAGACGAGGTGCGACGTCCCATCACAACTGACAGCAAATACTCGGGCCGAGCACCCTGTGTCCCTCTCGCACCACCAAATTCCGACACGACTACTCTCTGCCGTGTCTTTCTGTCGAAAGGTCTCTCGACAAAGTAGGAAAACCACTAACCACGTTGTGCGTCACTTTTTCATTCTGCTGCCGTGTAAAGCAAAACGTCGGTCGGGACGTGCCGCGTTCACATGGAAAATGGAGAGGGGGATACATGCCTCATAACCCTTGGTTTGCCTTGAGTGCCTCAAAACAGCTCTCCCCGTAAAATCTTCATCTACCACAACTTGCGCCCCCTGTCCCAGCTGTTCCGTGCCCGTAAGCCCAACTACGCTTGACCCCCCCCCCCCTTCCCCTTATCCCTCCCCCCCTCGGTGTTTGCCATCGGGTTGGGTTTTCGTCGCTTGGCAACGATGTGGTAAAAGAAGCCAGTTCACTTCGTGAACTCGGCAACCAGGTTACCATTTTTTTTTACCTCTGTATTTTTTTTGCGGTAACCATATGGTGGTCGAGTACATCATGTTGTGCGGGGTCGAGAACCCTCACTCCGCGCAAAGGGGATGATCGCACCACGTTGTGTTAAAATGGTCAAGCATCCTCGAGGCAGTTATACAGTGCTTACAACTGTCTCTGGAAGTGAAAGCACCAGAAAATAAATGAAGTCATACGCAGCTGTCATCCGTACGCAAGGGAGTGAGCACAAGATGCCCAACACCCTTAGCAGGATGCAGCGCACCCTTCATGCGACTCGCCGAATACCTCACGGCGCTTCGCGCTTGGTGATGTGAGAGCCTGGTCCGGTGAGAACCCGCGTCCTGCCTTCTCGATTTGATTCGTGTCTAGCGAAACGACCGGAAAACAGAAATACAGAAGGAACACGTGCCTTGACCAACGCCTTTCGCTGTGTGTGTGCTACTTGACTCGATGACCCTATACCTACGCGCGGGACAATTTCCAGGACGTCATTGTTGTGTGCGTGCTACTTAACTGCCTGCGTTGATGATCGCGAGGGTGGGACAATCTTCGCGTGCTGCAAGGCTCGTGTTCATGCATATACATACCTCTTCCCACTCTTCGTCCGTGGTCGCGAAGCCGTCCACGCTGACCACCGAGAGCTCCAGCCCTCTCTTCCTCTCCGACCCGTTGATGAGCCGCTCGATCGCTTCCGCGACGCTCGCCCGCTTGGTGGCCGCGTCCTCCGGCTGTTTTGTTTTTCGCGCGTACGGGTTTGGATGGGGGGGGCGGGCGGGGGGGGGGGGGGGGGGTACCCTAATCCGGGGTGGCCGAATCCTTTAACCCTTTGACCCCCCTCCCCAAAAAAGCGGGGAGGGGGACCCCGGGGTTTCCCCCGAACCAGGTCTCCCATTCCCCAAGGCGAAAAGCCCTGGGGGATTTTGGGAGGCCCCAGAAAGGGGGACCGGCTCCCGGTTAAGGGGGTGGGGGTTTTGGGGTTTATTTGTTTGGGAACGGAGAAAACCGGGGAAGAACGCCTTTTTTTTTTGGGGGTTTTCCTTTCCAAAAAAAGTTTTAACCCCGGGGAAATGCCC